GGTTGAATAAAATCTCTCTGTTCAATTCAGGTATCTGTCATCCTGTTTCGGTTCTACGTATATATACATGGGAATCGGTCGGTTTTGTGTATATATAGAAAAACAACTAAGTCTAGAAGGAACCGATGGTTTTACATTGTAAGACGACGATTCTCTATAACAGTGTTTTAAAAATCAGGGGTCCAAATTGGAACCGGCCGACTTGGATCAAGAATAGGTCAGTCCGATCCAGATCTCTTAAAATATAGAGAACCGGCTGATTTCCCTTACAAAGCGTCGGGTAACGTAATAGTTCTCATACAAAATTGGGGTCAATCGTTCCTCAACTAGTTCAACAAGTTTAAATTTTAATAAGTTTGAATTTTTTATTAAAGAAATGTGACAGAGGGGTTCAACAAGTTTTTTAATTTTAAAAAGTTTGAACTTTTTTTAGTAAAGAAATGTGGCGGTGGGGCCCACCCCCTCTTTATACGTCTCTTTGTTAAATTTCATCATCTACATTCTATATTTTGAAACTTTAAAGGCCCGGCCCACACTTTCTGTAAATATTTATGAGCCCCATCCACGTGTTCATGGTAGCATAAGCCCACCACCTCTCATTTCCTTCACCGGTGAGGCTTGTATAAGGCGTTCACCTACTAAGAGCGCCTCAAAACTATGCCAAAAATAAATCTTAGGTGCCGCAAAGCTTGATAATCTATTGATACCCCAATTATAAAATTTAAGTTTTCATAGACATAAAAATGAACTGTCTAGATAATGTGTTCAAAGATAAATTATTTTTAAGACTAAAATCCATTCTTTTTCATGTCTATAAATTATGAGGTGGAGATGATCTTTGTGGGTTTTCCAGCGTAAGAAGAACCTTCATTAATGGGGTTTTTAGGTGTACCTTATCGGTAAGGTTAATATCTTATAAAAACTTTTTCCGACCTCTAACGTCCCGTGACACTTTGTTATGCTTTCTGTGGGACTAAACCGTATGGTGAAAAGATTGCCCCACGCAATAAGAGAGAGAGAGGGAGAGGGAGAGAAATGGGGTAACGTTAGAAAGAGATAAATAGGTGAAAAGTCCCAACAAAATAAGAGAGAGAGGGGCAAGATTGGGCAACGCGAGAGAGAGGGGCATTGGTTAATTTATATTGTACCATGTGTATAGAAAATTAATTGTTGGATAAAAAGAAAAGACGATGTAGTATTAAAATGTATAGTGTTATCCATGTTCCATGGTTGAGTTAGTATTTTGTCCTTGATGATTGACCTAACAACCCCTAATCAATACTTTTATTTGTGTGGTAAGATATACTATTATCTTAATACAACAAACACTCTAACATGGAACACGTTCTCAATATTTATATATTTTTGTAAAATAATAAAAACTCATAGTGCAACACCATTATTATTTTTTTCAAAACCTAAAAAATGAGATTTTTTTTTCAAATTTTAGTAATTTTTTTTTTTAACATTTGAGGCCGAAATCGGCCAATCTAGCCGATCTAGGTCGCTTATCCACTTATCTATTTTTTAAAACCTTGCTCTACGGTAAAATGACGATCTGGACTGCTGATTCACCAATCTGGACCTGTTTTTGGCCGGTTCCCTGTTTTTCATGTGTTTTTTCATGGGTTCAATGTTTGTTATACGCAGTAAAACAATGATACAGACTAATTTTTGGGGTTCCTGATCTGGGTCACCGATCTGTTTTTTAAATCACTGGTGCAACCCCATGTACTGTACTGCTATGAGAATAGGATTGGCAATGGGTCGGTTAGCTAGGCCCTAAAAAAGAAGGGCCTAGGTCACAAAACCCAACCCGAAGGTCGGGCCAAGGCCAATGCCGCCCTGACTCGACTTTCTTATTTTTCTTTCATTTGTTTTGGCTTGGTTCGGCTTTCCTTTTTTCTTATTTTATTTATTTATTTTTCTTCATTTGTTTTGGCTTGGACCGGACCTAATTGGGCCAGGGTCAGGCCTAGGGCGGTCCTATGGGGACAAAGGACCGGGCCCAGCCCTTGCCACGGTTGGGAGAATTTGTTCTTTTATATTGTTAGGAAGGCCACTTGGTCCAATTGATAAGTTCTTACTATTTTTGCCTCTTCTCTGTATGGTTGACTGACGGGCCAGATTTCTTTTGTAAGTTTTCATCGTTTTATTCAATGAATCAAAGAAAAAAAGAAATTTGCTTGCCCTAGTAAAGAAAAAGAAAATTCGGTCCATTTGTCTTTTTCTTTTTCTCTTTCTATTTCTTCTGTCGTACAGTGTCATTGTTGCCTGTCCAAATATAGAAAAAGAAAATCACCCACCTGTAATATTCGTTAGACCATTAATCTGTGAATTTTTGCTTTCCATTTTTCAAGTGTATGATTTGCTGCCTTGAACTTGATTTGATGAGCTGCCAAACCAAGGCCATTTGGCGAGTTATAAAAGAACTACTAAATACATTTTAAACTTTATTCAAATATTATTAAATATGAATAGACGTGCAAAAACTGAAAAAAGAAAAGAAAAAGAAGGTGATTAATAATAATAATAATAATATTAACGATTGATTAGTAAAGACTCGGCTAACCATTAGAAATGCTGTTACATCTCAAAATAAAGGTGATTAATAATAATAATATTTCCTTCTCCTTGTTTTTTTGACAAGGGATTGTGAAGATTGACCATACTCCTTAATGGTGAATATCCACTCAGGTATAGTTAACTTCTAGAGTGGCATGAAAGGGGTTGGGATAGTGTTGGTAGCACCCCTATACTTTAGTCATCACGTTGTGGTTTTTATTCTCTCACTTTATTAACATTTTAAAAAAAATAACTCTTAAACTATTTGTAAAAACGGGTACAGGATAGATATTTTCCACTATCGTGTCTTTCCCTTTTTTTTCATTTTCCGTTATGGCAATGAAATAAAATCAGTGTTGCATGCCCCGAGTTCATTTTTTCCTACTTTCACTTTGGTGTCGATGAAGAGCAGTGCTTTAAAACATGGAATAGACCCTAAATCACGGTTCACCCGGTCCAACGAGTTGAATTTGAAAAGAAAATAAATAAAATTGAAAACGGGTTTGGGTAATATGGGAGGAATTGACATCAAAGAGATCAAATCATCCACCTACTCCGTTGGAACCAAGACTTTCGAGTATGAACAACCACTTTAATAAAAAGGATGCAATTTTCATATGGCCTAGGCTCAGTAAAGCCTCGCCTTGAATCCTCATACGGAATGCAATTTGGACATCGTAAATCACCATGATTTCTCTAAAATTAATTTTCAATACTGACTATGGAATTAAAATCTCAAAAAAATAGAACAAATTATGTGGATTCATGAACACCAGCTTTTAGGGCGAAATAAATAGTTTACTTAATATATACTGTTTTTAGAGTTTGAAAAAAATCAACAGTAACTGTTTTTTGGAGAAATTTATATACGGACCATATTGGGGTCAATTACAAAAATAGAGTTAAGTTTGTCCCAAATTACAGGTGGCACCCCCTCAAAAGGTCCAAGTTATCCCAGTCCGGTAATACAAACACCAGATAAATCGGGTTTATGCTATGCAAAGCAAAACATTTGTTTTTTTCCCTTTTTTAAATTACTTTTTAGGGTTTGGATCTTTGTTTTTCTTTTATTAGGGTTTGGATATTTGTTTATTGGAATCCATGGCTTCTACAGATGTTGAATTCCGCAGCTTCGTAGGTGATCTCGCATGGGCCACCTATGATAGGTCTCTTTAGAAGGCCTTCAGTGCCTATGGCGATGTTATCGAATCCAAGATAATTAGTGACTGTGTGACTGACTGGCCGCTCCCGAGGCTTCCTTTTTGTCACATTAAGCAGCGAGCAATCCATGCGTGATGCAATCGAATGAGCAGACTCTCGATGGCTGCAACATTACTATGAATGACGCTCAGTCGAGAGGTAGTGGTGGTGGCGGCAGCGGCGGAGGATTCCGAAGCTGTGGTGGTGGTGGTGGCTACGGGCGTAGAAGTGATGGTGGTGGCTATAACCGCGATGGTGGTTATGTAAATCGTGATGGTGGCGGTGGCGGTTATAGCAGGGGTGATGGTTCCCACTATTCGTCAGGGAGCGGTGGTGCTCCTCAAGGTAGCTGGAGAAACTAGATTAAGTGTTTAGATAGGTTTGGTTTCTATAATTTCCACCGGGATGACTACGCAACTAATTTGGGGCTGATTATAGTTTCTATAAGTTTTCAGGTGAAGAAATGAATATCGATATTTTGTTTTTCTTTTTTTTGATTGGTGGGGGATACCATATATATTTTCGGCCACTCTCTTTCCTCCAAATCTCAACCGTTTTTTGGTACAGTTTTTTTTAACTAAGGAAACTTTTTTCTTCTCTGGTTTTACCCCCATACGAGGAAAGCTAAGTATTTCAAACAATTATTTTGCTTTTGTACAGTATAAACCTCATCTGTCTAATGTTTGGCTTTCGCATTGTCAGACAAAGGGAGAGGGGATGCCGCCCATAATTTGAGACAAACGTGATCTTATTTTGTAATTGATCCCAATAATTTTTTTTTTATTTTTTAATTTTTTTTTAATTTTTTAAATCAATTCTAACTCTTTTTATATTTCACCTGCTGTTTTTGTATGTTAATGTGTACCTAATCAGCGGCTCTTACAAGAACTGCATCCGATGTTTATTTAAACATCGACTGGTGAACAGGTTAGGAAGATGGGCATACTCGATTAGTCCAATGAAAGCACATCCTGACCAACCGAGATCCCTAACAATAGCCCCCCAAGTCTAACCTCCCACTAACCCCATAATTTGCCCCCCAAAAAATATAAAAAAAGAAAAACCACCATGCAACAAAACTTAAAGAAAACAAGAAACCCAACTTGTACAGACTCATTCCTCCATTATAACACCACTCCAACCCCGTGACAGCTCACTCCCACCGATCCCCTGGTCCAACTCCTTATCCAATAAAACCCCCATCTTCTCCCACTCCACCCCACAAACAAACAATCAATCAATCAATCAAGCATGGCCCCCTCAGTCCTGGTCCTGGCCCTGACCCTCACGGCCCTAGCGTGCCTGAGCGGTGCGCACGCCCAGGCCCCGCCCAACGTGACTGGGATCCTCAGCCGTGCTGGCCAATTTACCGTCCTCATCCGCCTCCTCCAAAGCACACAGGTCGCTAACCAGATAACCAACACGCTCAACAACTCGAACCAAGGCCTCACCCTCTTCGCCCCCACCGATAACGCGTTCAACAGCCTCCCTCCTGGTACTCTGAACTCACTTTCGCAGCAGGACCAGGTCACCTTGATTTTGTACCATGTTTTGCCACAGTTCTACAGTTTGCAGGGGTTCCAAACATTGAGCAACCCCGTTAGGACGCAGGCCTCGGGTATGGGTGGAGGGCAGTACACATTGAATGTGACCACAGTGGCCAGCTCAATGCAGGTGAATGTGACAACCGGTTTGGTGACCACACCGATCGCGAATTCGATCAATGTGACTTCACCGCTTGCTGTTTATGAGGTGGACAAAGTGCTTTTGCCACTAGATATGTTTGGGGTGAAGCCGCCGACTGGTGCGCCACAGGCTGCTGAAACGCCAACTGCGGGTGCGAAGACACCGGTGGCAGCCGGGCCGACTGCTGCAGGAGGTGGGTCCAACGCAGCGTCGTCGGTCGCGAGGGGGAGCTTATTGGGCGTGGTGATGGCTGTGGTGGTTTGGGTTGTGCAACCTTGAAGAAGTTGTGATCCATCACTCTTGAAAAGTGCATGTGAGTTACTTCTTTCGTTCTTTCTTTTTTATATTCTTTCACTTTTTTTTTTCTGGCTTTGTAATTTGCACTGTATCTGTTGTGATTTATGTGATCGGGTGGATGTGGATATGGAGATTTGTGTGTTGGATCTCCTGCATTGCTCATTTCTCTATTGATTTGTTCTCAGATTGAGAATTTGCATTTCATTGATTCTCTCTCTCATTCTTAAGAGGGAATTTGAGTCGGATCCGTATGAATGAGTGGTCTGTTCTTTGGAATTCGATAAATGTTGCAATGTGGTGAGTAATGTATGGGATTGTAGATTCCAGCATTTTGTGATAAGATATCTCTTGCTCAGTCGTCTCTACGTGAGAAGCAACCATTATTTATTGGACAATGCCATCAATTGACTCTTGACCTTTGCATGGGGTCAGTTTTAGGGAAAATAACCCCATAATTTTCATCCTTGGTAGACCATCGGGTTCATCAAAATCCCTTGTGCCATCGAGTTTAAAATTTTGGGATGGTTAGCTCCAATATGTTTTCTTTTGTTTGTTTTAAAAGTTACATCTCTTGTAGATATTTTGATAAATTTCTTTAATAAAAAAACAAATAATGACAAGAATCTATTAACAATATAAATAAAAATCATTTTGCAAGTTTAAAAGATATTGATGTTATTCTAAACTAGGTTACAATATTAAAAAAAAATTCGCTTTCTTTTCATGTCGAAATTTGTATAGTGGAGTCCCCGGACGTAAGGTTGATTTTTCGCAATGAAAGTGAAAGAGTAGGGAATTGACTAATGGAAGATTAAATTCATAAAAAAAAAAAATAATAATAATAATTAAGTTTTAACTATCCCAAAATTTCAAACTCTGACGATACATAAGATTTTGGTGAATCCAAGAGCATGATAAAGGTGAAAATTATGGGGAGCGGGTATAGGTCTTTTTCCCTTAGTTTTATTGGTCCCATGCGACTACGCCCAATGCCATGGCGCTCACGTTGTCTAAGCCGAGTCAAGGGATGGGATTTGATATTTTTCCCACATTCAAACCACCTTAACTATAAAAAAAAAAAGAAAAAAAAGAGAAGAATAAATTGATTTTTTTTCCATTTCTCTCTCAATCATTCGTAACCTTTAAATTTAAGGAGCCTCTGGAAGGAAACAAAAAAAACCACTTTATATACAAATATATAAATATGTTTGTGTCTTTTGAATAATATTTGTATTTCAAGTAAAAACTTCAACTTGGATATGGTTTCTATAAGGCCTAGGCTTTATAAAAACAAAATAAAGCCTCACCTAGAATCCTCATAGGGTAAGGACTTTGGGCATCACAAATCTAAAATCAATTTTCAACACCGAAAATGAATGTTAAAGCCCAAATAAGATACAAACCTTGTGGATCCATGAACATTTATTTTTAGTGTGAAATAGATGGTCTAGACAATTTAGTACAATGTACACTATTTTTAAAATTGAAATCCTTTTTTTTTTTTCACAACCACAGTCAAGTCAAGGTTGAGATGATCAATTTGAAGGTTTTTCAACACCATAATTAAAATTTTTGAAAACCTTTACTTATTTTAATGCAAGTGCATCCCTTTGAAACCATTTTCCATATATATGAAATAACCCAAAATACCGGCTTCTACTATCTCCGACCTTCATACGTGGTCCATGTGTATCTCTTGCTGGCCTTGACCCCAAAGTGTTTGTCTTATTAGAAACTTGCAATAATCCCCCCATTTTTAGTAGTTGTTTATTCAGCATGAAGGACGAAGACAGCGAGCCTTGGATTTTCTTTAAGCACCCACCTGCCAAATTGATTCATTCAAATAAGTGTTGAAGGAATTTAATATTCATTGGTTTTGCTAGGTTTGACCTCTTGAATAAACAACTCAAATAGCAAGTGGAATAATATATGAAAATCACGTTACTTGTTAAAAAATAAATAAATAAAAAGAGCAAGTGGAAGTTTAGGGCAAGAAGATATCACACCATTGAATTTTGGTGTCACGTTCGATTTTCTTGTTAACAAATGAAAGGAACACTATATTTTGGTGTTGGTGTCACGTCTTTCATTTTTTTTTTTAGTGGAATCATATATTGTGATCGTCAATAAAAAGTTACAAAATATTGTGATCCCCATTTTGTTAGAATAAGAGAATGCTCTATACATCAATATGCACAAGATCAAATATGGAAAGAGAAAAAGAATTACTTCAAGTGAATAGCAAAGCATAAGATTTTGTAAGTTTGACCGTTTCACAATTTTTTATGCTAGTAAAGTCTTTATTTGTCACAGTACCATGAACAAAAAATAAAAATTGTAACCGAAAAGGTAAGATATGACCAAGGCGTTAATGCCACAAAGATACGACACTAATGGTAGTCACAACACAAACTAAAGGACTTGGCATACAAAGGTAGTCTAAGTAATAGAGATCTCCAACTTTATGCCCAATCCCAATGAGCTTCCCTGATAGCCGATCCTATATATTCAACCAGAAGAAGAAAATACAACATTATAATATGAGCTAGTAATGTAACAAACAAAAAGAAGATTCATGGTAATAAAAGAACATGATAGACATCAGAAACAATTTACCAGAAGGATCAGAAGTAGGGGAAATATAGCCAATTTTTTAATCTTCCTTAGTGGCTTCATCAACAATATGAATAGTATTGAAAAAGGGCTTACAGTCAACCAGGGTAGACTTGGAAATAGAGTTACCTAAAAAGGATATAGTTGATTCAGAAGTCAATCGAGACTATGAGAAGATAGACTTTATTTAGGGATAAGAATGGGCCGGATCAGGTTCAGATCCAACAGGATCCAGATTTGGAACTGAAAAGTATACATGGGAGTCATATCCGGATCCAAGTTCGATTGGAACCAAAATATTTGGATCTGGATCCAAATCGAAAAAGTATACATGGGATCCAGGTCCAGACCCGATTGGATCCAAATATTGGATCCATACCCGGATCCGAAATTCGGGTTTCAAATCCAAGCCTGGTAAATTCTCAAGCCTAACTGTTGTTGCTCTAGTGTCGTGTGACTGCCGGGATAGTACTCGTACCTTTGAAAGTGAGAAATGGGAGTGAAGTTGTGACGACCTAAAACTTTTGGACAAAAAAAATAAAAATAAATTAAATTAATAATAATAATAATAATAATAATAATAATAATAATAATAATGGTGTTAATAGAAATAAATACAAAATAAATTAATAAAATAATAATTATATATTAGTAATGATAATAATAATAATAATAATTTTATACCGTTAAGATGTTGCGAATTTTATATTAACAATAAATAAAACGATAGTTATTGTTAATATACTTGAGGGTTCAATTTTATTTGGGTGGACCTTAGGTCCACCATCTTAAAACTTTATGTTAACACAAGCTTTTGTTTTTAACGTGGCGGCTTTACATTCCTCTTATCTCGTTTGTAAAACACCTTGCATCTAAGGTGTTTCTATTTTATTCAACACTCTCTCTCTCTCTAGCATGGTTATTGTTTATGTTTAGGTAATGATAACCATTTGTTTCTTTTAAAAAAGGATTGGGGATGTGAAAAAGAATGAGGTTGTCGATTTGGTATGCAAGGTAACTTTTGCATATACTACTTTCATTTAGTCCTGTAAATCACAATCCCTGTTAAGTTGATTTTATATGATTTCTTTCCCTGAAAAAGATTCTTCATTTACATCGAGTCTCTGAAGAAATTATCGATGTTTTTGTGTGGGATGAAACTGATGCTCCCCCAATTTCGGAGTTAATGTAAGCGATCTCATTGTCTCGAAGAATAATCTTTTTAGTAAAAATGGTGATATTTTATCTATTGTAAAATATTTTAAATGCTGTAAATTATTAGAAATAAATGTGATATTTCCGCTTTTAGTAAAATTGTGAGATTTCCTTCTACTGTTTTTGAATATTTGGACATTGTAAATTTCATTTGCAAATGGCTGCGTTATAATTTGAAAACTGAAATTTTTGTAATTGATTATAGCATTGTCTGTGAAATGTTTATTTGCGAATTGACATCCCATAAATTGTGATAATTCCGTATTCTTGAATTTCTATAAGAGTTTTCTATACATATTAGATTGACAATTATGCTAGAATGTCTTTACGAACTGCTACCTTTCTAAATTTGAGCCAAAATATTTGACTGGTTATTTTTGAAATGTTATTGAAAGTGACTGTTATTAATGGTTTCAGTGAAATTCATATTAATAATTATAGTGATATGTTGAGTACATGATATCGCTGCTTTCAAATGTTTAAAGAGATTTAGAACTACGTTAAGTATGCAAGTGGACTCATCCGGTCGCCGGTGAGGTATAAGTGGACCTATCCGGTATGCCGATAGGGATTAAGTGGACTCATCCGGTATGCCGGTGAGGTATAAGTGGACCTGCAGGGATTAAGTGGATCTATCTGGGACGCCGATTGGGACTAAGTGGACCCATCAGGACGCTGATGGGGTACATAGGTGACCTACCTGAGACACTAGTAGGGTAATTTGTAAAATCCTTTGAATTATGCACTGTCGTTAAAATGGTATATGCATTTCAATTATTCGGATTATACTTAATTATGAATTTTTTAAAGTGAAACTATTAATGCATTTATGTTAATAGATCTCCTTTTTGAAAATATTGATATCTTTTAACCATGATTATTTTTAGGATTATGATGATCACTTACTAAGTAGCCAAACTCATCCAATTATGGTAAACATTTTTTTTTCAGGATAACTGCGGTTTCATTTTGAGTGCTCGTCAGGATCAACTTTAGAAGATATTGTTGTTGTGCTTAAACGTTCTTTTGTTACTTTGCAAGAATTCTCCATTGTAAATTTGTTCTAAAAATAGATGTATATATGTTTTGACTGTCACATCTCAGGAATATCAGTATTGTAAATTCTTGGGGTGTGACAAATATGGTATCAGAGCAATAGGTTTAAGATTCTTAAGAAATTTAAAAAGAATGTACTTAAAATCACATTTATTGCGTGTACAGACCGAGGCGAAGTTAAGATCCAGAATAGCTGAAGCTAATATGGAAGGAATTCACAAAGCCTTGGAAAATATGGTTGCTCTAATGCAACATCAGATGGAAAACAACAATTCAACCAGGCAGTCAGTTATGTGAAATTGTGAGAGTAATATCGAACAATTT